AGCTCTACACACATTTACTTGAATCGTGCTCAGCTCTTGAAGTGTTGATCAAAAAATCCTTTGGTTTTTATTTGCGAATGCAAACGAAACCATTTTGGAAAAGCTTTAGCCCTATATTCGTATCAAGCTCGTTTATTAACTGGGAACTACAGCTTTGTTAAATTTGTGCGAAATCTTTCTTCGCTTTCAAAAATACATTATGCCTATTTAATAGAAATGTAAAAGATGCATACTTTCTTAAAAAAAATCTAAGAGTAAGCAGTAATATTTAATAGCAACTGAAAGAGCTAACATTTAAGTCATTTGATATATGGCAAATTAAGTTAAGTTATATCCCAACTGTGAAAAAGCAAGTTGGTATTTAAACTGATAAAGAACAGCTTTTATTTCAAACATAAACCAAGAGTCAAAGAAAGCTACGCAAAAGTTTGCTCAAAACAGCTGACTAACATTATTTGTGTGTGTGTGTGTGTGTTCCTTTTTCAATGTGTGTGTGTGTGCGTGTGTGTGTGCGTGTGTGTGTGTGTGTGCGTGTGAGTGTGTGTGTGTGTGTGTGTGATGAAATGTAAACAATAACAACAAGGATGGCAACGAAAAGCGTCCCTAGTTACTTTGCCATGCAGAGGTCTGTCGGGCTGTCGCAACCTACACACACATGCACACATACTTGCACACTTGCACACTTGCACACATACACAGATACATACACACACAGGGCACACACATACGCAGACGCAGATTTCCAGTTAAGCGCCTGTTTCAATTCAGTTTGATTCAGTTTCACTTTCAGTCGTCGCTTGACTTCCGCACGGAAGCGTTCGTTGCGTTCTCCTCTCTCTCTGTCTGTCTCTGAACTCTCTGTCTCTCTTTCTCCTCACGTTCCGTGGTTTTTTGTTTTGTTTTTTTTTGGTTTTTTTTTTTTTGGTTTTCCTCTTGTTGTTATCGGTGTGCAAAGCAAAACAAAATACATATTTATATTCAAGTTTGTTGAGAAGTTTCCATCAGAAAATGTTATCATAAGCAAAAAAAAAAAAAAACGGGCTAACAAAAATAAAGAAAAAAAATATCAAAGTGGCAAAATGTTCAAAATAAATAACAAAGTCGTCGCTTGGAAATTGGGCTGAAAGGAAAATGCTCATTTTCCTGCTGCCAAGTTGCTGTTGTTGTTGTTGGCGTTGAACAGCTGTTGTTGCTGTTATTGTTACATTTACTGTTATTATTATTATTATTATTATTATTGTTGTGCACGTGTGCATGTGTGTGGGTGTGTGGGTGTGTGTGGGGTGTGTGTGTGCATGGAAATTAAAAGTTACGCCATTTATGCCGCCTTCTCTCAAAGTAAAACAATGAACACAAAACCATTGGGCAACAAATTAATGAAAACAACTACGTTCATACGTGCTGAGTGTCTGTTTTTGAATGCTTATGACCAATGAGTGAGTGTGTGTGTGTGTGTTTGTGTGCAAATACAAATCTATTAAAACATTTTTAATTTGCGTCCCAAGACGACGACAGCAATAAAGACTGCAAACTGTGTCAAATGTGCAGCAAGCAGCAGCAGCAGCTGTTTCAAATGCAACTGTATATATATATATGTATATACACACACACACACTCACACAGACACTGCTCGCAGCTACCACAAGAGGAGGCAGCCAAGAGTTGCCATCGCCTTTGTTTTCATCCTGACCGTCCGAGCAGAGAACTTGGCTGCCTCCGCATTTGTTTACACACACAGCTCCAGGCTGCCTTCACATGTGTGTGTGTTGTTTGCTGCTGTTGCAAGTACATATATCGGTCTGTGTCTATAGACTTTGATGTATATTCAATGTGGCAAGGCATTGATATATGTGTACCACTTATTTAGTTGTAGCTGCCGCAATCTGCATCGCCATTGTCATTGATACACATACACGCACACTCACACTACTCACACCACTCATACACACTCAACACACACATACGTATCCTAAAAAAATATGAAAAACTAGATACTTTATGTGACAAAGAGATGTCATTGTTATTTTTGATTTAGAGCAGTCAGTTCAACCTTGACCACAGCCTCATGGCTATTATAATGAAGATATCAAACTTCCCATTCCCACACAGACTGGAGTCCGTCTGCCTATAAATTGAAGAAATATACAAATTGTTCCTATGGGAGCTGCAATAACTTCGTCGAAATAATATAATATTTAAAAATAACATGCATAGCTGAAGAGTTTGATTAGCTTAACTTGATAAATGCAAAAAAAGATTTTCATGGAGAACTCAACTTTTGACAAATTGTTCGGTTCGATAGCTCAGTTAATCCTTATTGAATGAATCCCAGAAGTTGTGTACTTAAACTAATAATACAGAAAAGCAATGTCTATAAAGAGTATATATATATATATGTATGTATATTTATATACATAGCAGGTAAAGTTTAAGTGGCGATTTTATTCAGCAAAAAGAATTTGATTAGATTCTGATAAAAATCGAGTGACTAAAAAAAACTGTATATATATATATATATGCTAAATAAAAACTGATGAAATGGCAGATAAAGTGAAGAGCAAAAATGAGAATAAAAATAAACATGCCCATAGGCGCATCATTTATAAAGCATAAAAAACTACACCACTATGCTGGAGATGCCATCAATCAAATGGCTTTCTATAAGCACACACACACACACACACACACACACACATACACAAGTGACTTTACCAATTTATTCACTTTTTTTATTTGGCAGTCCAAATGCGGTTTCTCGAGCAATTTGAACACCGAACACAATTTTTTGCTATTGGCTTCGACCTATGCAAACAACCACAATAACTCGACCGCAGCCCTTTTGAGCACATCAATCATACGCACTGATGTGCGGCCCAAACATTTGCATAGCCCATACGTATGTGTGTGTGTGTGTGTGTGTCTCAGTTGAGAGCTAATGTGAGGCACAGCCAGCAGTTAACAGCACTTGACCACTTGACTGCTAACCTACACTCATCAAAAAAAATCAACTTAAATTAATGAAATCGCCTTTCCTTTGACTCCAATGGCTAGTCACTAGAAGATTATTATATTAGCTTTCTTATTAATTATTTTATTAATAAGCATTTGTATTTTATGTTTTCACATATATAAACATTTAACATAGTATCTCTTTCTTATTTCTTATTAATGATGTTTCTCTCAATAAGAGAAAATATTTTGAAAAATTATTATAATATTTTTTTGTATTGTCGATTTAAGGCAAGAGTTTCGAAAGTTTGGAAATATTTCTTACGAATAGAAAAACTCTCTATTTTTTATGGCGACTTACTAAAATTGATCGATCTTTTTTTGTTGAGTGTAGCAACGTCTCAACACCAACTCCCATTCCCCGTCCACGTCGCATTTGGCAAAGTTTTTGGGGCCGAACAATATGCAAATTGTAATGGCTCAGATTGCTTGTCGGCTTAACTGGAAGAAGCGTCGGGTATTTTGTGTGTAATCCAGCGAAACTTTTCGCCCCACTGCCAACTTTTGACTGTTGGCTTTTGGCTTTTGGCTCTTGCCTGGCACTGTTTATGCTAATAACTTGCATATCGCCACATACGCTGCACGCTGACTAATTCAATTTTTGGCATTTTCACACTAAGTCGTTTATCTGTGGCAAACATGTTACCAGAAACTTGCCACCAAATTGAATCAGTAACAGTAACCAGCCCCAAAAACCAACACCTCATCATCATCATCATTGTCAGCAATCATTAGCAGCATCATCTGTGGGATCAACATCAACATCATCATCATCATCATTGTCATTGTCATTGTCATATTTGGGTTGAGCTTAAGTCAAGCGCAGAGATCAACCTGTCGTGGGGGGTTGACCGGGGATTGGAGGGGATTGGAGGGGGGAGTGGTAGTGGTTGGTTGTTGTGTGCGATTATGTAAATTCATTGGGAAATTTATTACGAGAACATGCTACGTCGTATGCATGCCATAAGCAGCTCATTAAATGCCAACAAAAAATCTTTGGGCCTCATCAGCACGTCTAGTTCATTTAGTGGCACCACCATAACCACCCATAAGGTCGTGCCCAGTTGCTACACTTGAAAAAAAAACCACCCATCGTATTTAGAATAGCGATCAAAAAGTTTTAAAACGCTTTGAAATCAGTATTAAGGTATAATAAATATTTTTCATATTTTTTATATTCGATTGTATTTGTTTAATTCAAGATAAATTTCAAAAATGAAATAATCAGAAATATTGTCTTTAGTAACAGTCAGAGATTAGAAAATTAAACAAATACAACAAAATAGAACTAAGATTTGCATTTCTAAATATTAAGGTGGATTTTCTAAAATTTAGAAAGTATTGTTTCCAAAAATTAGAGTTTGCATTTCGACTATTTCAAAATGTTTTTCTTACGAAGACAATATATCGTTATATTATTTGGATTTTCGATTTAGGACTAGCCTTTCTAAGTTTAAGAAATTTGTTTCACAATATTTGGAAATAATTTTTTTAAAAGTAAAAAAACTATCTATTTCGGAACGGGATTTCCGAAAATTTAGAGCGATATTATTATTGCTGAGTGTGCACAATATATATATATATATACATATATAGAGACATATGTACATGTTTCTATTCTCAGTGCTGCTCGCAGCTGGCACTGTTTTGCGCTAATTCGCAATGCGTGTGTAATGGCGCCATTTTGTGATTAATGAGCGCTGAAAACTGAATGTGAATGCGAATGTGAATTCCAAAGAGAAGACAGCAACAGCAACAGCAAAAGCAAAAGCAACAGCAGCAGCAGCAAGAGGAAGAGAGCAAGCAACAGCTTAAGCCCCAAACTAATCAGTATTATTATCGTCATAATCATAATCATCAACATCTTCCACTTACATCATCATTAACAAGGCACAGCAAGAACAATAACAACAAGAACAACAACAACAACAACGACAACAGCTAAATAATATCCAAAAAAAATAAACAAAAACAAACAGAAACAGAAACAGAGAAACAGAGAAACAACGGGATCAGCGATTATGGTTGAAATACAAAAGCCACATTCGGCCCTTAAGCGGCCCTCGTTGAAACGGGAAACAGTTGTGGTAAACAATAGTGCACCCACCATCAAAAAGGTGACGCTGGTGCCCAAGGATGAGGTGAGTTTGGGGTGGGTTGAGTAATGGGGAAGTGGTTTGTTACTAGTAAATTACATAATTATGCGCTGCATAATGTGTTCTTTGTTCTTCTGATATTATGGAATTTGCATAAATTGTAGCCGTCTAAATTTGTCTTGTGTTTTGATCGTCTTTGATATATTTTGTGACAACTTTTGAAAATGTTAACGCGATTAATTCATTTAATCCAATCAGAAGTTCACTTAAATATGCATGTCATCCTGAGTGTCCTTTTGAGTGACTATTAATTATGTATATATAACGGAAATAATCTTGGCAATGTATACTGTTCAGCCTATTTGGCTTACAACGGACTAATATAATAATAATGAACACTTTTCATCTTGAATGTTTAATAACATTTAAGCTGACTGCTTATAATTGAACAGAAACAAGTAATGAAATTTACTCACTCCGATTCAGATTTTATATTCGAGTCGAAGTTGTTTCCAATTCATAAACTGTGTGAAGCGTTTGTGTATATCTGAAGTCTAAAAATAATGTTTAATAATATTATAAGTAACAAAAAAGCCAATATAACAACCATCCTGGAAATTAAAAACAGGTTTTATAAATTGTTTAAAAAATCCACACTCAAGTTTAAATTACTAAATTAAAATTTAGGGCGATTTTTATAACTCATGATAAATGATGGCATACAAATTTGTAAGTTATTCATATTCATCAAACATATATATATATATAGGCACTTGTTAATCTGTATATATAAACATTAAAGAACAACAATTTTGCAATCTCAACAGCGTCGCTATTAAAATATTCGTGTTTCATATGTATATGTTTTATGTATGTCAGTATGTGTGTGTGTCTTGTCCTTGAGAGCGATACAGTTTTTGGGAGACAAGTTAATAAAGTATGCAAATGTTTTTGCCTGGCTGTGTCCTTAGTTGCCGCCATTGTCTTTGGCTTTGGCCATGCAAAAAAGGCTTAACTGGAGTCCTTTTTCTAGGCTCATTTAATTGGTTTTATACGCGAAAGATAAACAATTGCTCCCAAAAATATCTGCAAAACGGGAAACATATATATATTTTAGCACAGCTCTAAGCTCAAAAAATACAAAATAAAACCCCAAAGCGCCCACATCCTTAGCATAAAATTACAAATAGGAAAACATTTCAGTCTTTCTCTTTGTGTTGGTCCCCTCAGCTTATGATGTTGTCGCAGCTCATAAACAATGGGGTATGCCACACTACACAAATACCCAGTAACATTTTAGTGACACACTTATCGACTAAATATATATCCGTATATTAAATATGATATACTATGATTAAATATTGATTGTGGCATACTTTTCGTCGAGCATACCCTGTGCAGTTGTGCGCAGCGTTTGTGCAGGGTATAATTGGTAACCGCGCACAGATTGCACAGATTTTCAGTTTATAAATGCAAATTATAAACTGGCTGAAGGCATAACAACTTTCGATTGGCATTTCGTTATGGAACGTGCCATAAATAAACTCCATTTTCCATATCGATTGCCTATCGCTTGGATCCTTCCCCCATCCCCGCCCCTCCCCTCCCCTAGCACCATCCACTGTTGTGGCCCTGGGCAATGCTATCAAGAACAGGCTGTCCGCCTCGACACGTTTCCGGAGCAGGAGCAAACATTTTGCTGCAAATCTTAAGGCCATAAATAAAACTCCCCCCACCTTTTCTATTCCTATGCCCCTCCCCCCCACCCCCCCCCCCCCTGCCCACTGCCCCCTATTTTATTACCTTTGAAAAGTTGTTTGGCTGGCAGGCAAGGCGAAATAAATAAATAAATAAAATACAAATAAAATTTATAGAGCCAGCTCAGCAGGCAAGAGGGAGAAATAATTGAGCAGTCCTGCCAAAATGTTTTACGACTCTCATAATTCTTTTTCTTCGGCTTCCTTCTATTTTTTATGTTGAAATTAAATTTAATTTGTCAGCCAAAAGGTAATTGCAAAATGCTTCAACTTTTCCCACTGCTCATCGTTATTGTCGCCTGTCACATTCCCCCACCTCTCCCCATCCACTGCCCTCCACACACTCCTGTCCCGACACTAAAATATGTCACACGGTCTACACACCCGCCGCCCCCGCCTCCCCCTGTCATCATCATTCCTGTCAGCATCACATGAAAAACTGTTCAAATCTCATTTTGACTTGCTGAAATTAAATTTTACGATAAGTTGTGGAGGACGGCAGAGATAAAGCAGTAAGGACATTCCCAAACCAGCACTGCACTGATTTCCCTTTAATTATCCTAATTAAGCGGTGTCAAATACACTCAAATAAGACAGATATAGGTATATATATATATATACATATTGTCTATTATACATATATTATTATTATTATTTCTAACTCCTGCAAAAAAACGAAAGGCGATCAAAAATAAATTTCTGTAAATTATAAATGAAATTGTTCTCAGTGTAGGCGGAACGTGTGCACAGTACCGCAGCCACAGTTAAAGCCACAGCCACAGCCACAGCGACCTTGAGCTCTTCCCTGCTAATGACAAAACTCAGGCCACGCCCACTTCCATGCCGGGCCCGCCCACAAGGCCGGAAATGAAAATGGTTGAACATTTTGGGTGTTCATTTTGCTCGGCGCAGTTCATAAACTGTCTGTCAGCCTACCCGTCACGTGGACAACTTTGCATGAATCAGTGAAGCACTGAAACTCCTCGAAAAAATAACAACCACTGAAGCCAGCAGCCATTGTATGCTATTATCTGTGTGATTGTTTTGTACTTCATTTGGAAAAAAGGTTTGGCGCTTTTGACAATTATTTTTGCTTAATATAGAACTTAAATTGGCAGCGTGATAATTATATTGTGAGCACTGCAAAGTAGAGTAGGGCCTCAAACCTGAGCCGGAACTCGTAGCGACACAGACCCGGAACCGGAACTCGACATTTTTGAAGAGCTACTTATAGAAACCGATTATTATTAGTACATATAGTAATGCAAACGAATACCAAAAATAAAAATATGAATCCAATTCATAACCTTAACCGGAACCGGAACCGAAATAAACCCTAAATTGTAGTAAATCGAAATTCTTATGGAGCCCTTTCATTCAAATGTTTTTCTTAATAATGGATAAGAAATGGGAAAATCGCCTTTCTAAATTTTAGAAATATTCTTCTAATATTTACAAACTATTTCCAATAAATATGGAAACCTTACATCTTTAATAGCGATTTCCATTATAGCTCAAATTTTTTTCTGATTGTAGATAAGAAACTGGCCAAGATGGCGGACAGGAAAAAACAGAAGGAATGACTCAATAAATAAATGTGGGCAATAAATTTGCACATGCAGGCAAAGCCAAAGGCAAATTCAAACTGAGATAACTTTGTTGACGACTGATAAGAAAAAACACTGAACAAAAACTGTGCATAAATTGCCACCAAATATTTTGTTCAAGTATGTTTAACATAAATTATTAAATAATTGGCATACCAGGCATTGTTCATAGCTGAACTTGGCTCTTTACTGCTTACTCTTACAGCAATTTAATTGCTACTTTTGGCTTTTGGCTGTTGTTTTGGTTGTTGAGAATTGTTTATATTATTGTCTCATATTAGCTGGTCGAGAATTTAAAGGTAAATTTGATGGTAAACCTATTTCAAAATTGCAGCTTCGTTGATGTTTTATTTACCCAGAATATGGGATCAACTAGGAAAAGAAGTTCTTGTAGATCATGTTCATTTCATCAATAACTGTTTCGCGATTATCGATAGAAATCGATAGCCATTAGCAATAAAGGCCACAATTTTAAAGATATAACTTTCTAATCAAGTATGTAAGTAAGAAATTGGTAGAAAATTTTATATTTACATATTTACCAACTTTTTGCAAAGATGAATTTTTTTTGTATGCATATCGAAAATGTTTACGACGATTCTGATAGCTATCGAGTTACGTTCAGAGCATCTGCTGGTCGAGCTCTCTCGACTAGAGCATTCCTAATTGCTCTCGACCAAAGTAGAATTAGCCTTTCATTAATAATTGCCGCACAGGCGCACGCATATGTGGCAAGTACTTCGACCAGCTCGGGTGGTTCCACTGGTTCCAGTGAGTCGGGCGGGTCGGGTTCGGGCTCGGATTCGGATGGGTCGTGTAGGTGCGGCCACTTTATAAATGATCTGGGACCAGAGACCATCGTAATGAAATGAGTTGTGTGTGTTTGCCTACTTTGTTTGCCAACTTTCTTTCATTCCAACACAGATGCCTCGCTAACTCTCTCTCACTCTCTCTCTCTCTCACACTCTCTCTCTCTCTCTCTCTCGGTCTGTCGCTGTCTCTGCTTTTTATCGCACATAACATGCCGGCCGCTCATCAATATTGAAAATCATTTGGCTGCAACAGCCGCTTGAGGGCCATTTCCTGTTGACCCTTGTCATCTGTTTGGTCTATTGCTCTCTACAACCATAGCCTAACCATATCCCGCCTCCCTTCCACCGCCCACTTCCCCCATTTCATAATATTGTCGAATTTCACAGAACACTTGCAAGCATTTTGTTCACAATTCAATTCAATTTCCATTCCCATGCCAACAAGGAGAAAAAACAATCAGTATTAGGCAGGATTTGAAAGGGATTCTTAAAAAAAAGAAAAGAAAAAAACTCATTTAAGACTTCGAATGCCAATTGCAGTGTATTGTTTGAGTTTAAGATATCATTTTGGATGAATTTTCGAAATTTAAGCAATTCGAACAAATAGACAATAAACACACAATTTGAATTAAGGATTAAAATGGATGGATAACAATAAAACTATATTAATATCACTTGCTTGGAATTATGGCAATGCAAACTAAACTAAATGCAATCACGAGTCTATAATAATGTTCAATCCGACTGCAATATACCCAGATCTCAACTTGAATTCACTTTTCACTTTGACTATGTTGAATGCGTAAAAGGACTTTATATTTATTGCCTGAAGTTGTGAAAAAAGGCAGAATAAAATTGTCTAAAAGTAT